TCTTCTACATTCTTGACACTCAAAAGGCTGGACAAATGCTAAACTAGAGAAGTCAAGCTGATAGTGTGACTGTTGGAGAATGTGACTTGGACCTTGGTCCTATGCCCTGGAATGACACCTATGAATCATTGTGTGCTATATTCAGGCACTAGGCTAAGTCCACCCTTATATAAGTGAAGAAATTATAATTTATAGAGGTTAAGTGACTTGTTCAAAGTCACCTGCATAGCAAGCAAAAGGCAAAGCAAAATTAATAATTATATTACCACTAATATTTGTAAGTAAAATTTCCTGAGTGCTCATTATGTTAATAAGCATTTTACAAAAAGTACTATTGTCGGGTGGTGCTTGTGGCTCAGTGGATAGGGCCCCATAGACCGAGAGTGGTGGGTTCAAACCCGGTCCTGGCCGAACTGCAACAAAAAAATAGCCAGGCATTGAAATGGGCACCTGTAGTCCCAGCTACGTGGGAGACTGAGGCAAGAGAATCGCCTAAGCCCAGGAGTTGGAGGTTGCTATGAGCAGTGTGATGCCAAGGCACTCTACCGAGGGCGAAAAACTACAAAAAAAAAAAAAAGTACTATTGTCCACCTTTGTGAACAGGTTTGAATGTTGAATAATGTGTCAGAGGTCACAAAGCTAGCTAGTCGAAGAGCTGGAGATTCAAACCGAGGTCTTTCTGATGATAGGCCCTGTGCAGTTTAGTTATTGTACTATATTGCCTCTTACTTGCCAAAATTTTGAGTTGCTTGTATTAAATCCTTGGTAAAACAGCTTCTAGTATACAGACCATGGCTAGTAAATTAGTTCACAGTCTCGATTTATGTAGTGGAGTGTTTCTTGACTCAATCCTGAGAATTATTTAGTAATAATCCATTGGTTGCTATCAATAAATCAGTATCAATCCTTTACTGTGCTAGACAGGCTAAACTCCATGTCCTCAGAGCCTCCAGAAAGGTACTTTGCTGTGCATGTTAACCACTATTTGGAAACCAAGAAGAGTTTGGAGTGTAAAGTGAGAGGGGACCAGACTTCTCTGTAGCTTGTTGCAAGCAAGGGAAAATGTTCAGTTAAGGCCAGTTTTGGTCTGAAAAACTGTACAACCTGAGGTTTGTAGAATATTGTGAGGTTTGGATTTTTAAATTATCTTATTAAGGAAGACCTGTTTTATAAACAATACATGCTAATGTAAAAATCTCTGAAAATATAGAAAAGTCTAGGTAACACCAAAATCTCCTAGAGAGCTTTTTTAAGGAATTGAATTAATAGGTTTCTTTTAGACTCAGCTACCTAGAACAGAGTTTAATGAGGATTAAAAGATTTAGTCATTCCTGGATATGTAAATTATGTATTTTATCTAAATTTCAATGAGTAAATCTCTAAATTCATCAAAATCAACCTCTTTAGACTTAATCATACTAGACTTTCTCATCACACTGTACTTGGAGAGCCTGGAACTTAAAACGAGGTTGAATGAGCAAGGATAGTGCCGGTTATAGGCTGAGAACTTCAGCCAGCCCTTAAGGGAAGTGAGGCCTTATGAGGCGGATGAAGGTGGTGCTGGGAGTTAGACACAACCCCACAGGCCCCTAGTTCCTTCATTCAGAGTAGCTAATGAGAAACTCAGACCACCTAAAAAGAAAAGGGAAGCAGAGTGTGCACATCTCCTGGACACCTCAGGATGCCTTCCCTGCCTTTCCCCATATGTGTGTTAGCATCATAGGGAGCAGCCCGTCTCTAGTGCCTGAAAGGCCCGGCTGGTGTGGGGAGCACTCTGGATGCAGAGGATCCAAGGAAGCAAGGAACCACCGTCTCTCCATTTGGTGATAATAGCAGATTTTACTTGGGGCAGGAGAACTAACCATTCCAGCTCTCACAAAGGGCTCAAGCCCTAGGGTCGAAGCTGCTGCCTACCCTCGAGTAGTCCAACCGCGCCGGCCGGAGTACTGGACCCGCACGCACCTGAGGCACACATGTCCAGTAGTAGCCTAAGTAGAGGGCAACGGCAAGAGCCAAGAGCAGAGAGAAGGTCTCGGCCCAGGTACCATTCTGGAGGCTCAGGGAGGAGCTCAGCATCTTCTGATGGGAAGATTCCGACTCCAGGGCTCTCCACTGGCTCTGGTTCGCCGACCCGGACCAGTCGGCCAGCAGGTGCGTGCCGGGTTCCGCCCGTTACACGCCATTGGGCCGCTTCTGCGGGTCCAGTCCCGCTGCCGGCGGCTCGGGCTGCGGCCCCGCCCCCACCCCCCGCCCTGGGCGCCCGCAGCGGGAGACGAAGGGCTGTGCCGGGAAGCTAATGGGCTGCGCCCCGGCCTGACCTGAGCGGGTCTGACCTGAGCGACCTGCACACGGCCTCCTGCCGCCAGAGGACAGCAGCCACCCCACAGCTGCCACGATGGTGCGGAACATCTGCTCCAGCTTCTTCGTAGTTCCCCAGCTGCTCGTACTCAGTCACACACAGGACACAGCCACTCCCGTGGTGATATTCTGCTGTCACACAGACTGCAGCCATTCACAGCGACCCTCACACTAAAGTCACAGCAACACACGTGGTGATGCCCTGTGTTCTCACACAGTGTTTGTCCATTCACAGCGACCCTCGCTGGACACAACCACTGTATAGTTGTGACACACTACACTGTCACACAGTTTTCAGCTGCTCAGTGGTGGCACTGCATACACATGCATGTTCCCGCAGTGTTACTCTGTCTCATACAACCCCAGCCACACAGCCATCCTACAACAGACAATCCACTCTGTACCAGGCACTTTACTTAGACACCCCTGGGTTACTGACCCTGATCTGTATGGGAAGCCTACATATCAATACAATGTAAAGCTCTCTAGGAGGTTCAATGTGTTACTGAAGCCAGAAAAGTGGGCTGCAAGTCTGGGAAAGGAATTTTCTTGACCCTGAAAGGAATGCAGTCCTTTTAGAAAATCAGGTCAGAAATCAGTAATCCTCTTCCCAGACTCTTGGAGTGCCTCAAGGCCAGAGTTCCTGGAACCACCCTACTGATATCTTGGCTGGTATTAAGGGTATGCCTCTAATCCTGACACTAAGGATACCCCATAATCCTGACCCATACTAGAGAAGAGCCCCAGGTGGTCCTGCCCCATTCCAGTTATACTGATAAGTCTAATAAAAGCCTTTTGGAACTGTGGGTGACATCTCACCAGTCACCATTCTTTGCCCTTCTAGTAAAGTCTTTCCTTGAACCTGGACTGGCCTCCTCTCCTTTCTTGCAGATCCTCACCCCATTTCTGTGCCAGAACTTCTCAACAAGATGGGGTCTGAGAAGCTAAGCTGAAGCTGTACAGCTGACCCAGTCTGCTTAGTTCACCTTCTTCCCCCACATCCCCACTCTGAGATTATCTAGTTAAGATTACACTATGATTGTGAAGATGTTTACTTCAGGACACTTGAGGAAGTAGTCACACATAGACAATAGATTTTAGGATCTTGGTAAAGGTTACTGTGATGATATGATGATTTCTTTAATAATTCTCTTAGATGTTTTGTTAAAGTGAAAATTACCTTTCTGTTGTTTAAACATTTTGTATTGTTAGAATGAAGACTACTTTGATGTTACTTCCTATCAGATAAAGTTAAAATTTTCTAGGTTTGTTTCCTTGTACTTCATTATAAAAATTATTAGAATTGTAAATGAGACAGACAGGTTTGAGAGGCTACTCTTGCTGTTCTCCAGAACTGCTGGCCTTCTAAAACTTCTAATAAAGTTTGGGGGACCTCATCCCCATCTTTGCATCTGGCTGATGGTGACAGGTGGCCAGATCCTCTTCCAGTAACCTCAGCAGGGTTGAACTCCTAAAATAGAGGGTGGTGCTAGATCAGGGAAGTCCTAGCTGCTGGGAACTTGGTGGGGGTGGAGTGTTCCAGAAGAGGGCATAAGTGATAGCCTGGAGGTGAATGACTTCTTAAAGGAGCCAAAAGAAATTTGATGCAGTTGGAGCTCGGTTGTGAACAGCTACATAAAGGATGTTAAAAAGGTTTGGAATGTGTTGCTTAGTTTATCCTATGAGTAGCAGAAAGCCATCAAAGGATTTTAAGAAGGGATGGGTGAAATGATCAGAGTCATGTTTTAGAAGAATCATTCAAGCTACTTGGAGAATGGGTTGGAAGAGGATGGAAGTAGAAGCAGAGAGGCCAACTGAGAGAGCGTTAGCAGAACTTCAGGCCCCAGTTGGCTGCCTGGACTGGGGATAATGGGAGAGGAGTGAAGATCTTCAAGATGAGAGGCAGAATTGACAGGACCTGGTAGCAGGTGAGAGGACACACACACACACCAGCCTCCTCATCTGTCTCTGTCTCTGTCACACACACACACACACACCCCAGCCTCCTCATCTGTCTCTGTATCTCCCTTTGTCACACACACACACCAGCCTCACCATCGGTCTCTCTGTGTGTTTCTGTCTCTCTCTGTCACATGCACAACCCCCAGCAGGTGTATCTCTGTACAGAGTCACATACACATACATACACACACACACACCAGCTTCATCAGCTCTGTGTCTCTGTATATCTATCTCTCTCTGTCACATATACCACCACTGCCAACCCCCAGCCTCATGAGCTGTCTCTGTCCCTGTGTGTCTCTCTCTGTCACACACCCAACACACACACACATACACACACACAGCCGGTTCTCCAGGGTTGCAGAGGACTGGGCGGCGGCTGGCGCTGGCTCCAGACTCTGCCCGGGCCAGGGCGGCGGCTGCAGCCGGGAGGGCGACGTGGAGCGGCCACGTGGAGCGGCCCGGGGGAGGGCGGGCAGCGCAGCAGCCTGAGCACCCACGAAGCCGGAACCTGGTCCAGCGTGCCTCCGCAGCAGGTGGGTCGGCCCCCATCGCCGCCAGCTGCCGAGGGTGGTGGGGTTGAGACGGCCTCCCGCCTCGGGTCTGACTGCGGAGAGAGCGCAGTCCCTTGGCGTCACCGCGGCTCGGACGCTGCAGGAGCGGTGGCCCTGGCCTCTGGGCACCGCTCGGGAGGAGGTTGCTCCGAGGGTAGGTAGAGCAAGGGATTGGAGAGAGCGAGTGCTGGAGCCCTTTGGTTTGATGCTGGAGGTTCCCAGGTTCCCAAGCTCATTTCCCTCCACAATGCCGCATTCATTGCTCTAACAGCCCTGGGGGGAGGGGGAGCTAGTCCGAGGTTTCATCCCCATCGACTGATGAAGACGGGGAGGACTAGGCAGGTCATAATCTAGCTGCAAGTGGCAGAGCAGGGACCAGCTCCTAGGTGTGGGCTCCTCCTCTTTCCGTGAGGGAGGGGGATAAATTAAGGGCAAGGATTCAGAGCAAAATGACTTCCTAACAGTTAGACTCAGCCAGAAATGGAATGGATGGCCTGTGAGGTGCTAGGCTGCTGTTCTGGAATGATTCAAGTAGAGGCAAAATGGCCTTTGACAGCAATACTGTGGAAATTTTTCTGCACTGGATGGGAAGTTACCGGAGATAACCTTGAAAGGCTCTGCCACATCCTAGAGTCTCTGAAATACTCCAGGAGCATCTGCTTGCTGCCACCATTTAACTTGCATTGTCTCATTCATCCTCCTCAAATCCCCACAAGACAGAGACTGTTATTCTCGTTTTAAAAATGAAGATCTTGGGGCTCAGAGAGGTAAAGACACCTGCCCACATCACACAGTTGTGTCAGAGGCAGGATTTGATCACACATCTTGCCCCAAGGCCAGGCTCTCTCTTTCCAAGCTCTAGTGCACAGGCTTGAAGAAATCTGAGGCTGGAGGGTCATTATGAAAGTGTGTGAATGACATAACTAACTTTATTGAATTACATCACAGTTGTTAACTAACAGTTGTGGTGGCTTTCATGTGCTTATTAGGGTAATTATATTCTTGCACATTTTAGTTATAATAAATAGGAACATTTTTATTTATTTGGCAGGCAATGGTTCAATAACTTTTATTTCTGTTGCTTACAAAAGCTTTTGTAAATGCTTAGCAATGTGTTAAGTGTGAATCAACCACATTACACCAACATCATTATGTGAGGTTCGTTAGCCTGGCTTTCTTTAAACAACTGTGATGAGTTACTTGAATATTATACTGAAAGTCCACATGAATTATTTAACTTTTTGAAGTGGACTACAAGTGTATGCTAAGATTGTCAGGAGGATCCAGAATATTCCAGGTTGAGGTTGGATCAGGTAGGGCAAAAGCAGGGAAAAGTAAAAATGACAAGTAACCTCTCTGAAGCAGAGTGTTAGCATAACAGAGCACTGGAAGATGAGTCAAAGGTAACTTTATATCAGATTGGAGAAGGCCTTGAATGCCGAGGTAAGGACTCGGGACTAAAATAGAAATAGGGAGCCGATTGAAGGTTTGGAGCAGTGAGTTTCTAGCAAAGGAAGATTTATCTGATGAGAGTATTAAGGGTTCTTTAAATGCAGAAGATACCAGAGTCAGAGACAACAGTAAAAGCCTACAATGTCAAGACGTGCAACAAGTAATACATTATCCACTTAATACTCACTGTAACCCTGTAAGGTAAATATTATCTCCGGTGTGCAGCTAAAGTGCCAGAAGTTTGGTGAAGATAATTAACTTAGCCAAGGTCACAGGGACAGTCAATTATGAAGCTGAGACTTGAAGGTCTGGCGGGTTCCAAAATTCTGTTCTCTGTCTACTAAACATACTGAATAGTTATATAAGTGAGGGATACATAGGACTAAGAGAAGTAGATTGATAATAATACCTGCGGATAGGGCTCAGGACCAGGTATATAATTTGCAGAGCTGAGTACAGACATTTAATGAGCGTTTTAAGACAGCAATAGCAGGCTCGGCGCCTGTGGCTCAAGTGGCTAAGGCACCAGCCACATACACCTAAGGTGACGGGTTCAAATCCAGCCCAGGCCCGCCAAACAACAATGATGGCTGCAACCAAAAAAAATAGCCAGGCGTTGTGGCGGGTGCCTGTGGTCCCAGCTACTTGGGAGGCGGAGGCAGGAGACTCGCTTGAGCCCAGGAGTTGGAGGTTGCTGTGAGCTGTGATGCCATAGCACTCTACCCAGGGGGACAGCTTAAGGCTCTGTCACAAAAAAAAAAAAAAAAAAGACAGCAATAGCAGACTAAGCATAGGACCTCTCTGAGAGATGCTCTGTGTGACATCTATGAAGCCAGCCTTTGAAGAATTGGCCTTCCAATTATTATGGCAACTTAACAAACCACTTCAAAACTTAGTTGTACAAAAGAATAATGTTGATTTTTCTCATAAGTGCAGTCTGGGTGGGGCTGTGGAGACAAGCACTTTTCTGCCCCATTCCTTGATGGTTGGTGCAGCTTGGAAGCTGGGGTTGGAATCATGTGAAGGTTTTTTCCCTCACTTGTCTGCTCATTGGGCTGGGAAGATTTGAGCAGCTGGAGGCTCCTCAGGCATCTCTGTCTCTATGTAGTTTCTCCACATGGTCTCTCCAGCATGGTGGCTTCAGGGATGTCAGATTTCTTCCATGGTGGCTCAAGGGTCCAGAGCTACATGTCTGCATGGAGAGAGAGAGAGAGAGAACACAAACCAGAAGCAGGCATAAGCTACATCAATTTTATGACCCAGCTGGGAAGTTGTGCAGCATCACTTGACCATTCCTTAGAAATGTGTCACTAAATCCAGATCATATATGAGGGGAAGTGGATTAGACTCCAGGTTTTGTGAGAAGGAACGTCAAAAGAATTTGTAGACAGCTTTTTAAAAACCAGCTACAATTGGTCTAATAGCGAGTAAATAGATGAGTAAGACTTAAGGGGTGCTTGCCCTTTATGCCAGAACTGCTTCCACCAGTTACTCCTTTTTAAAAAATTTTCTTCTTTTCTTTTTGGGATAGAGCATGACCCTATCACAAAGATTGCAATGCAGTGGCCTGATCATAGCTCACTGCAGCCTTGACCTCCTGGGGGCAAGTCTCCCAAGTAGCTAGGACTACAGATGTGTGCCACCATGCCTGGCTAATTTTTAAATTGTTTGTAGAGATAGGATCTTGCTATGTTACCCAGGCTGGTCTCAAACTCCTGGCCTCAAGCAGTCCTCTACTTTAGCCTCCCAATGTGCCAGGATTGTCGGCCTGAGACACCCACCACACCCGGCCTCATTCTTTGGAGTTCACAAATGTCCTTGTTTTAAAGGCAGCTGCTCATGGATGATAACACATTAATCCTGGATGATATGTTTTGACAGCTCTAAGGGATTTGAATTACTCTCATGTTTCCTGATCACCTGGATCCTGCCAGTAAGCAGATGGGGAGTAGAAAGCAATTTGAGGGGATCCAGGTGGGAAGACTAGTGGGACTAGTATGTGTGAAGTCACTGCACAGCAGTCCAGGACAACTTTTGGAAGGAAAAAGGCCTTATCGTATACCAGGCACTGCACTTTACATGTCTTGTCTCTCTAAGCCCTCACCACAACCCTGTGACAGGTGCCTGTATCATGGTAGAGAACTTAAAGCAGAGAAGTCACACAACTGGTAAGTTACAGAGTCCGCCTTTGAACTTAGGCAGCCTGAGGTTAGAGTCCATACCCTTAAACTTTGGGTCATACCACCTATTCTTTAGCAGTTCTGTGCTGTTCTAGTTTTCTCTTAATTGTTTTAACTTTCTATCTTTTTCTACTTATGTATTTGTAAGCTGTAGGGGGAACAAGAATAAGTAGTTGTACCTTAAACTATCAGCTTACTGAGATGATAGTGCCTCACATATAACAGGTGCTCAGCAAATATTAAGGAAATGAATAATGTGTGTCCCTATTCTACAAACTTATGTTTACACTTACCTTCCCTGGGGACTCTCGCTCTCCTGGTCTTTGTCATGTGGCATCTGCCAGTGCCTCCATGCTAGCCTCTGGTATCCAGCCCAAGGTTCATCTTCTGGCATTCTCCTTCTGGCCTCTTCTGGCCAACTGGCCTTCTCAGCATTATGCCCCTCTCCTTCCACCATAGAGACTGGAACCCTCAGCAGATCCCCAAGCCCCTCTTCTTCTTCTTCTTTTTATTTTTGGAGAGACAGAGTCTCACTTTATCACCCTTGGTAGAGTGCCATGGTGTCACACAGTTCACAGCAACCTTCAACTCCTAGGCTTAGGTGATTCTCCTGCCTCAGCCTCCTGAGTAGCTGGGACTACAGGCGCCCGCCATAACACCTGGCTATTTTCTTGTTGCCATTTGGCCAGGGTCGGGTTTGAATCCGCCACCCTCGGTATATGGGGCTGGCGCTACTCACTGAACCTAGGCACTGCCCCAAGCCCCTTCTTCAAACAGCAGCAGGATACAAAGACCTGGGTGAGACAGCCCTCCAGCCCATTCACCCAGCCATTCCTTCAGCCATTGCTTCCTGACCACTCAGGCACACAGTTTGGCCAGGGGTAGGGGTGGGCAGCGTATGTAGAGAGCTTCTCGCTAACCTTCCTGGAAACCATGCCCGCATCTCTGCTGTCCTTGGATCTCCATTCAGTATCCATGGGATTTCCATTTTCACCCCTTGCAGAGGTCTGGGTAGTGGTGAGCCCTGCACTTCTAAGGACCCAGCCAGCCTCCAATGCTAACTGTATTTCCTCCCGTCTTCTATCACTTGTCTCCTCAAACTTGATTTATGGTGTCTTTCATGGTAAGTTTAAACTTTTGATATACTCAAGTCTGCTCATTTTTTTCTTGAAAGTTTATTAATTTAGAATATTTATCACGTTTGATACGCTATCAGATAATACGATGTGCTTAGCCATTGCCTAAATGGTAGATATTTGAATTGTTTACATTTCTTTCACTAATATCAGTAGCATAGCTATAAATGCCTTTATAATTTCTTTTCCATTTGTCTTCTTCCTTGTGTAATCTCCAAGATGATATTGAGTCAGAGTTTTATGGCCCATTAATTAATATACATTTACAGGTTACTCTAAAAGTATTTCAGGTTCATACTTCCACAAGCAATTTAGGTTAATACTCACTGATATAATTCCCTTAATGGTTATAGAGCTATCGAAATTTGCTATTTCTTTTTGTACCA